ATATGTGTGTTTATGTGTACGTGAGTTGACAGTAATCACATATAACGCCACAGGATCTACCTTCCACCATAACATCACACGAACGAATCGTTGGCCCTCTTTTGTAAGTTGTTTGTAGGTCTGATTTGTGAGGGTTGGGTGCTGCTGCTTCTATCTATAGAAATTTTCGAATTCGTTGCATTCGTGTCCTCGCCGTGATACGTTAACGTCGCTCTGTTTTAGTGTTTTCTTTCTTACTTTCTATCGTACTTATACACAAATAGTGCTAATAACAGTAGTAGTGATGGTAATAATAATGTTGACGGTGCCACAATATGATGTAGTTGGATGACGACGATGGGTGTAGTTGTTGACGTCGTCGTCGTCGCCGTCGTCGTCATCGTCATCTGTTAGTGTGTGTTTTTGTGTGCAATGGTAACCGTTATTGTTCTTGTTGCGTTTTCTTTCGGTCGCTGCATCGTCTAGAGGTCCGCAGTACACGAAGTATTAAAATAGTTAACAAAAGATGAGCATTCAAAAGGCATTTATTATTTCTTTCTTCTGATTCTTTGTTTTTTATAATCCTTTTTTTTTTTTTTTTTTTTTTTTTTTATTATTGACACCAATGAAATTCATCGCTTTTTTTGTGAGTGAAAATTAAACCTGTTTTTTAAATAAATACCACACCAGCCAACAACATGATAACGATTGTGAGACCTGGAAGTGTTATTAAATTTTCAAATGATGAAAGGGCGAAAGAGAAAAAAGCAAAAAAAATTTGTATTCATATAAAAATATTTCTGAAAAATTCACAACAATAAAAATCCTTTATTTAATACCGTTGATTCGTTATAATGCCTTTGATTTGCAAATGAGATCAAAAAGGATATAAAAGCGCACGCAGCCAGCGTGACAACACGCCAACACTTCCAACTAAAAAACCCAATAGCAACAACGATATTACAAAAAAAAAAAAAAAAAAAAAAAAAAAAAAATCAAAAATAAAAACAAAAACAGCAAAATCGTGCTTAGATATAATTTTAAATATTTATAAATTCTTACTGATTTCAAGTTATGTAAAGTTTTCGTGACGACAATACATGCAAAAAACACCAACAGCAATAAAAAGGAAAAAAGAGCAAAAATAAAAACATTCAAAAAATCCTTTGCTGACTAACAGCACGATTTACAGCATACATTGTACATGCATGTACATGCAAATACACACACACACACACGCACTTACTTATCTATATTGCATCAGCACAAACATGTCATTTGAGTTGCTTAAGATTTGTCATAATAATCATATGCATATACGGGCGGATTGGAGGTATGGGCGACCAAGTGAAACAGAAATACTCTGCTTTTTAGATAAACGCTAAGACGATGCATTAGCATATGTACGCATGTATAGTATAAATGACAAAGATGAAGAAAGAAAGCATGTAAGAACTTCTTTTCTTTTTTTTTCTTTTTTTTTTGCTATCTTCACTTTTATTTTTATTATTATTATTGTGGTTTTGCTTTTCTGTCAAAATCCACTTTCTACTACTGCACAGGTAGATTTATGCGAATACGCTCAACATTCGTATTTTTTCTGCATTTCGATGTTCGATGTGGACGCTCTCGTCATTGTCGCCAACAACGTTAGGATTGACGTTGTTGTATATATATATATATTGTATACATAAGCGATTCTTTATATAGATGTGTTACGTATTTATATATTTCTTTATAAACATGATTTTTTTTCTTTCTGTCTTCGCAACCGTTTCCTGATAAGGTGGACAGAGTGGAGATTAGTATTCAAACATATGTGCGTATGTAGATGCCAATATGTTCTCTTTTTTGTCTTTCGCGAACTTAATACTGAACTAATATGAATGACTTTAATTATCTAAAATTAAAATATGTTTAATTTTGATTTTCATTTTGTTAAGGTAAGGTTTACCTTTGCAAGTTTCGCTCGCCACATTCCCACTCTAGATATCAATCTAAGCGCAGTATGTGGAAAGCAATAGTGAAAATTGATTTTTCAACTTATTTATATACATATTTATTTCTATATATTTATTATTATTGTTGTCCTTATAAGTAAAAGCATTTATATATAATGTATGTAATGTTTTTGTTGGCGGCGTTTCGTTCATTTAGCAACGTGGATGCGTTCCTTGTAAACATGCCTATAAATATATTATATATTTTCACGTAAATTATTGGGCTGACAGGCGAAAGTGAATTATGTGAAGTGTGAAGCATTGTTAACTAAACTTCATTTGTATAAAAGTACGCAGGCGCAAAAACACAATTTTGCATTGATCCAGTACGTCGTAGGACATCAGTATGTCTCCTTGTCTGAATATTGTAAATCAATTGAAGAAATGAATGTAGCGTGAATATCTCTCTTGGCAAGCGTCATAATGAAGGCAGAGCTTTCTTCATCTCACTCGACACGCAATGCAAACAATAATAATAAAATTTATATTTCTTTATTGTGCATGTTCCACTCTACATTCTGCTCTATCATTATGGTTATAGTAATTAGATTAATATTTAAATTTTCTCTCCTTAAATCATTTAGATGTCGTAGCATCTAACCTATTAAAACAAACCCTTGATTTGCGTGCATTATGTTTCATAATAGATGGGCGGGAAACAAGTTAGAAAACTATTCGAGTCTTCACTTAAGCTAGATGTATGGAGATATCTGAATTTTTGGATAATTTGGACTAGTCCGGTAGTGACATATGAAATTAATTGTCATAGTTTTGATCAATATTTCAATGAAACTTTAGATAGTAAATCTCCTGGCGAACACACTGCTTTCGCTGTATGTCGTTAAAATCAAATAAGAGTACGAAAGTGTAAAAAGTAAGTCATATTTCATAAAAGACAAATGCATAGGGAAGTCTTAATCGGCAACACAGATTATTAAGAGCTTGTAATCAGTATAAAACTTTAAATCGAGTCATCTGTCTGTGTCTCCGTCCACCCGTTGTTGTGGCAAAACTTATGGTCGAATTCATTTTTTTTTTTTTTTTTTTTTGCGTTTATTTATTTATTTCCTTTTTATTATTTCCTTTTATTATTTTTCCCTTTTCTTTTTTTTTTTTTTGTGTGCAACAGTCAGACACTCAGTCCTCCCTATATGTAAAAAAACACAAGTATTATAAATAAATAAATAAATAAATAAATTTGTCGGGATAAGTAATCGTCTATTAAGTTCGGATAGTGCGCTAAAACTTGTCTTAAATATACAAACTTCCAGTTGATCATCGCTCGTTTCACTTTTTAAAATTTTTGATGCACACATTTTACAGGTCTATGTTAAAAGGTCAATGCAACAATAGGGCAAATTTACACTCTCACGCTCCGTTAAAAAATCAAAAAAAATAAAAAATAAAAATAAAAAAAGAAAGCAACAATTATTTTCAATCGTTATGTGTTTATTGATTTATTTATTTATTTATTCACTTATTTATTCATCCATTTAATTAAGTGTGCAGTTTAAGAATGCAATGTTTATTGAATTTGAAGTTTCAAGATTCACCTCGAAAAAAATGTTATTTTCGGTGAAATAAATTTGGTTGAAAACGAAAGTATGTCAACTTGTGCACGTAGAAATACGAGCGTTTGTGTCTGCATAATTAGGACGAAAATGGTTACCGAAGAACGTATGAAAAATAAAGAAAGAAAAAAATGAGAAAAAATAAACACACACACACACATAAACACGCGCGCGCGTACATATATATAGCAACTGAGAGAATCTGCAAACTTTGGGACAAAAATGAAAGTTTGGGTCTTGATGTTAAACGTTACTTACGTTATATATTAAAACATTCTATATGATTTGAATAACATTATGTAGATGTTATCAATGATTTTTATTGTCATGTTTACCCACATCTCTCAATATATTAATTCCTTATTTGTTTCGTCCGGGAGGTTGCCAAATATGTAACCCACATGAAGATAAAGTTAAACAATAATCTATGCCAAAAAGACACCAGATAATGAAATGAATGATATTAAAAAATAATACATATAAAAATCAAAAAAAAAAAAAAATCGCAAATAATATATATGTATAAATTATTATGATTAAGAAAATCAATTCCTCTTTTATTCGTTCTATTTGTATTTGTTCTCGCAGGCAAATGAAAAATTCTTTTAAATGAAAGGGAAAGTTTACTCTGTTGAACCAAAATAAAAAAGAAACAGAAAGTTATTGCATTTCAATTACTAAAATAAAGCAAACTAGTACTGAAATCCGTTTGCAAAAATAAAAATTAAATAATAAAAAAAATAAATAAGTAAATATATATAAAAAAAGTTAAAAAACGTTTTCAATAAATTTTTGAATAGAAGACACAATTGTGTATTATATAATAAACACAAAAACTCTCCACTCAATTAGAGCAAGCGATAAATTACAAAATAATACAGTAAAAAAATTCTAAAAAAAACAAACAAAACAAAACAAAATACATCGGGTTATATTTTCGATTCTTTTTTCTTTTTGTATAAAAAAAAAAAAAAAAAAAAAAAAAAAAACGAAATATTAGTTAAAAAAAAGGGTAAGAAAAATTCTACATAAATAATGTTAATAATCTTAATTCACACATATGTCGATAGACGCATACGCATAATGTGATTTATTTTGTTTTAAAATTTCAATTTCTTCGAAAGCAATTTAAAAGCGAATAAGAGCAAAAACTCAAGAAAGATTCTTTTCAGTAAATTTATATTTTAATAAATCACATCCAAAAGTGCTTAATTAACTGAAACCAATTCGAATAACACCAAAAGTTCTTAAATTATATGAAACAAATATCAACAATTTCCTCGTCTTCATTCTTATTCCAATCCCAATCAATGCTTAACTAATAGCTGAGTAGCAAATACAAGTACGCGCTTAAAAAAAAATTTTTCAAAAATCAAAATTATTATTAATACAATAATCAACACCAATTATTATATTTTATATAATTTCTGAAAAACGAAAACAGAAAGAAAAACAAAATCCAATAAAAAATAAAAAGAAGAAATTATTGCAATTCTAAACACCAAACTTGAAAAATAAAATATCATAGAGAGTATTAAACAATAAAGGGATCCACAAATAACTTGAAATTTAAAATCAATTACCATCGATATAAAAGTAAGTATAAATAAAAGCATTAAAATATTTTGCTTTCGCATTTAGGGCAACATAACACACTTACTGTATATATGTATGTATATCAAAGTTACATATAAATATATCTAAATGCAAATATACATACATATGCGACCAATGAGGCACTTGGCCAGCAACATTACCGCAACAAAATTTTATGACTGTGAAAAAGTATAAACAAAAGGACAATTTACAGAAATGAAAGCAATTACTCATATGAGTTGAGTTTTCGTATGAATAGAGCTTACGCTTACGTAAGCATTTCATACCTTATATTTGAAACAAAAAAAGAGAAACAGAATACGAACGCGATATAATGTAAAGATAAATTGAATTTTTATACTTGTGTTTGTCCTCAATTTTAGGCAAAAGATTCACTGCGGAAATGCAGCTAGCAAAATGTTCCTTTCATTAACAATATGTATGTATATATATGTGTGTCTGCATATTTGTTTGTTAAGAGTCCGAAGAGTCGGAGTTTAAGTGATTTTTGCGAATTTAACAAAAGTATTGAAAGCACCGCAATGTTATATTGACACTCGTTTGTTGATGTTTTTACGTTCGAGAATTATTCTCACTCTCTCTCTCTCTCTCTCTCTCTCATTTTTTCCTCTCAAACTTTTACTGGTTACCTCGTTCAATTTGACAGTATCAACTCAACACTGCCTATAACATACCATTTAACCTATAGAGAATGAATATTAAATTCTCGTTGAGAATGCGGAGAGAGTGAATATATATATTTCACAGAGAAATTCTCTCTTTGCCCTTTTCAAAGTTTTCGTTAAGTTTGTGCTCGCCGTCCTTACTGCTTGCTTGGTTTGCATTACAAATAATCAAAAAATTGAAATTTTTTTTTTTTTTTTAAATAAATCGTCGTAGGACTGACCGTTTTATAAGTAATTATTAGAAATTATTTAAAAAATAGAAGAGTATTTGCAAACGCAAATGCAACATAATCAGTATGATGACTCGGTAAATTTCGATTTGCAGATAAGAACAGATTTCGAGTCTTGTTTCTCACTATTGCGCTGCATTTTCGCATCGAGAATGCATGTAAAGAATTTTTGATAAAGTTTAGTGAATGTCTACAGTGTTTTTATTAATACATTATATATATATGAAAAAAACACAATACAAATTATTGAAGCATTATTGGACTTTGGCGCAGAATTTAAATGTTTTCATTAATCTTTGGAAAACTAAATTAAATAAAGCTAAAGTAATGGATGAGAGAATGCGTTAAAAGTAAAATATTAATTATAATAACGAATAACTATGTAAAGGAATTGGATCACACAAATTCGGGGCGTATTTATAAACAAAAGAAACATTGTAATCTCCTTCAGATAGAGAGCTAGAGATAATTCACAAAAACTTCCAAAGGACTTCATCATTACTTAGGAAAACGTGTTCGAGGCTGTCGTACACATAGTTGGCAAATTTGCATATAAATAAATAATGTATGTATGTATATATATATGTATGTATGTATGTATGTATGTATATTCGGTGATTGGATATATATAAGCAGCTAGCTGCATAGCTTAATGTATTGAAGACTTAAATAAATAGTTTTACAATATTTTTTCAGAAAACGTGTCTGCGGTGGGCGCTTAATTAAAAATGGCGTCTTGGATATAGTTGTAACTTAAATGTAGAGCAGGCGACAATACATGTGCCTCATGTAAGTTTTCTTTTTTTTTTTTTTTTTTTTTTTTTTTTTTTTTGTTTAATGACATATTTGAATGTCCTTTTCGATCTCAAATTTATGTATAATGATGTGGGTGAGCTTGTGTGCGAATGAATGAATGCGTTAATGTATTTATTAAAGAGATAGATTCATATGTGGAGTGGAAATATAATTTATTTAGTGTTTTATTAGGCCTTGGAAATCTGAGGCTCTCATCGTTGGCCGCATAGACAATGACAGAAGATTCCGACTCGATATCTGAGGAAGAACGCAGTTTGTTCCGTCCCTTCACCCGCGATTCATTGGTGCAAATAGAAAAACGTATTGAAATCGAACATGAAAAACAAAAGGAGTTTGAAAGAAAGAGAGCCGAAGGAGAACCGGTAAGTGCTTAATTTTCAAATTTTTATCCCGTTACCAGATGTAAACAGAATAAAAACAATAATTTGTACATTTTGAGTGTGTGGAATGTTTGCTTTTCTGTCTTCCTCTCTTTCTATACAAATCCTATTTTCAATAAAAATATTATCTTTTATGTTCACCTTTTTTTTTTTTTTTTTTTTTAAGAACAGTAAAAGCAACCAAAACCAAAAAAAAAAAAGAAATAAATAATATAAATAACAATAGAAATAAGATAGATGTAAACTTTCATAACCTTGCATATCGCTCGCTATCCTGAAAGGAAAATACAAAAACAATGTATGCTAAAAGGAAACATCTTTTATAGCAATTAAGTGATTTTTTAATGCGTTTTTGTGATTTTAAAATAATTGGATCACAGTGTTGACCCCTAAGTACTATCTTCACTCCATTATTCATTGTCCTCTCATCTCATATCGCCAATATTTTGAACAACTTAACTGGCGAGCGATGGTATTTGTAACATTCATCACTTCCTAACAATCCATTCATCTACGTATAAATGCAAAAATGCGAATATATGTTTTCATGTCTCATTTACAGTTAGATACAAATAGATATTCGGTTTCCATTGTGTTTTAAGCTTTTTCTGATATCTATTTGTGTTGTCGTTGTGAAATGAAATTTTTTATGCCTACGGTTTCTCCCCAACCTCCTCTGGTGCCCTCTTTCCGTCCGATTTCTTCCTTATCTAAATGTTTATGCTAAAAAATTATCCGCATCCCTTTAAGATCAGTAAATAAATATTTGTATTGTATTATGGATAATATGCAAGACTTTTTCTTTAATTTCTCCTTTAAACTAAACGTAGAAAATGTAAAATTATTTCCCTTTCCCTTTTTTTTCTTTTTTTTAATTTTCTCCAAAAACAAATTAGGGTTCGAACTAATCAATTAAATATTAATGGCAGCTTATGGCTTTAGTGAGTCAATTGTATAGCATTTAAAATTTTAATTCTTCTTAGGCAAAACGTTGTTATATGAACCCTAGTTTTGTTTGGATATGCGAAGTCAATTTCTTTACCGTTTTCATTCTCTCTCTCTCTCTCTCTCTCTCTTTCTTTCTTTCTTTCTCTCTCTCTTTCCCTCTCTTTCCCTTTGTTATTTTTGCATTTTTGGCTCTTTAAATTATTTATTCTTTCGAAGGTGTTATTTTTTTGTTATTGTTGTAATTGGTAAAAAAAAATTTGTTATCGGCTTCCAGAGAATTTGCCATGTCATGCTCTGTTTGTAAAAAAAAAAAAAAATTGTTCAATCGATTTGTAAAAATATAAACTTTGAGTAGAAATGGGCAAAAAATTATTTACTTTACCGTTTAAAGTAACTTAATTTTTCTGCTTTAATTTTTGATTTCTTTTTAATTTTATGAAAAATTTAATCCCAAACTAATCCTAACATTAAACCGATAGAGGAGCGTTTTCAGAATTTTGTACATAATCCGCCCTCATTATCTATCACTTATCAATTTCAAATAGAAAACTAATATCGAATTTAGCATAATGTGAAAATTTCGTAAACAGAAAGAAAAAAAACAACCATTGCTTGCGCAAAACCATCACGTCAGTCAATCAATTCATTATTCAAAATTAAAAGGAAGAAAAAGAAACGGTGAATGATTTAAAATTTTCCTGTTCACGTTCTTGCTCCAATGCTCCTCCATTATAGCGACTCACGAAAATCAAAAACAAAAAGAAAACAAATATATTTTAAATTCAAAACTAAAAAAAAATTTTCACCGTCAACCTTGTTGTTTCTCGCCACAGTGTTAACGTTTTCTGAACAATAAAAGTTTAAAATCTAAACATATTCTGACAATTTATTTATTCCTGTTTTTCTTCTTATTTTTCTCTTTTCTCTCTCTCTCTCTCTCTTTTCTCTCACATATATGAATACCTTCCTTTAATTAATAATAATAATTTAAAAAAATAAAACCAAATAAATAAAAATACAAAAAAAAAAAAAAAAAAACAATATCACCGCCCATTCAAATCTCCTTCATCCATCCATCTATCTAAAAAAACAAAAATGAAAATAAACAAAAAATAAAAAAATAAAAAATTCGTCGTAAATGTTCTAATAAATATGTTAAATATGCTCTCGTGTTTATATGCGTGAACGGCAATTGCAACGACCTTTGAAAAAATGCAAAAATGCAAAACATGAACTCTTCGTATTGTTTTATTTATCCAACATAACAACAACAACAACAAATTAAAACTAATATGTTTGATGATGCCGTATTTCTGCCATCTATTTGCATTGCGTTTATATACATATGTCTGTTGTTTCATTACATAAAAAATATGACCTAAATTATTATGAATGAACTATGCGAAATCTATTGTCCACTGCTTCGGATTATTTGAAAATATTACTTGAAAAAAAAAAAAAAAAATTTAAATAAAATCTTCTTTCAGCCGCAATATGGTCGCAAGAAAAAACAAAAAGAAGTAAGAGTTTTTTCCAGCTACAGCTTTTTCTTCTGTTTTGAGTCTTTTTAAGTTCAATTTACACTTTTTTTATCGAATTTCTGCCATACTTTCTCTCTCTCTCTCTCTCTCTCTGTCTGTCTCTCTCTCTCTCTCTCTCTCTGTCGCTCTGTCTGTCTCCTATAATAGTTTACCTTTCCCTTCGATTACCACTTTCTTACGCATTATTTCTTTCCTAAATACGTAAAAATAGTTTTTTGCCTTGATATTTTAAGTTTTGGGAAAATAAAGCTTAATATATTACGAAAAAAAAAAAAACGAAACAAAAGAGCTTTAAATAATAAATTTTGGTTTCACAGTCAACGGTGCATGCCTATCTTAACTATATATTTTTTTTTTATTTTTTTTCTTTCACTTATTTTTGCCAGCAATTTTTACCAAAGAAATTCTATTAATTATAAATTTTAACTATAAACGTAAACATACAAATGTCGCTGCTTTTTCCACGAAAAGCACGCAATGATATTTCGATATAATTTACGCTTAAAATTAAAAGTGAAAATATCTCGCGTTGTTCCTAAGCGCAAATAAGAAATTCCCAAAAATTATGCAGCCGCAAGACAAATAGCAGGCAAACGTTTCCAGCCATTCATTAAAAACGACAACTTCCTATTTCCAAAAAAAAAAAAATAAAAAAAATATAATGCCGTGCTTAGTAACAGAATTTGTGGCAAGGGTTTAACGTGGGTTCCTGCCTGTAAGGCTTAACCCCACGGTGGCCCAAACCACTTTTTAAGCGTACTACGCCCCCTGGCGAGTTAGACAATCCCCACAGAGTAGGGACCTAAACAGCACCAGAGTCCAGATCAGTTTATTGTGTATGGAACAATAAACCCCACTCTGGTGAGTGGCGAGGGCCTAGCTGCACTCGATTGTTCCACTTTGGCTTGGAACTGCCAACCACAACCACCACGAGTACTCCCCGAAGGGCCGCACCCAGTAGTCAGGACTCACCAATTGATCAACTGACTGCTTCCGCCATAAGGCTTCCACTGTGCTTGTTGATCAATTACCACCTTTACCCGCAGGCATTCATGACATGTGTTCAAAAGTAAAAATAGGTAAAAGGGGAGAACTTATTCGTCATACCCCTTTTCCATTCTTGGCCGTGCTTAGTAACAGGTCAAGGGAAAAGTTCGTGACGTTTCGTACCGAAAAGTACATTGACTAAACGAAACATCAGCCATTGCGATCAATCACTATTCGCCATTATAGTACAACTTCGGGGTTTCCTTTGCGGGAAACTGAACCCAGCCGCTTTCGCAGGCTTTGGTTGAAGTCCGCTGAATGTAGTGAAATAAAGTAGTAGTCGCACGGGGTGGCAAGTATACGCTTTATATGTTTCTCGTAGATGTCAGCTTTTACATTAAAGATGAAAGCGGTTTATCATTGCGCAACGAAATGTAACGACTTTCAACGGCTGATCAATTGCGGACGTCTGACCTCAATTTCACTCTCGAATCGTATTAGGCGTTTGACAGTAGAGAGTAAAGTTAATCGTCCACCCTTACCTCATGCAGCGTCAATCCGGACTTTATGCGCAGCTTCACCATAATCTTGACTTATGATCTTTTTCGCGCATTATTGCTTTGAAAAGCTAACCATCTTTCATTGTCCATTATCAATCTCCTAAAAAGTTGCTCGATTTCGTTTTCTTTAAGTAACGATTTGCTGGTGAAAATTCGCTGCTCATCGTACATCTTTTTGTGTCTGATGTTATGCAAATATTTTAAAGTCCCAAACGTTATCGCCTTAGCTGAGATGTTATAGTAAAGCAAGTGGACTTTTTTGAAGTCAGTTCAATCGATTTACCAAGCATATCTAGGATCTACCATCTTTCACACTTTTGTTACCTAAATGTCGTCTCTTTGGCGCCATGAATGCAACGAACTGTTTTCTTGACGGATTGTACATTGTTTACATATGTAATACATCTTTCCAGTGGAAGCCGCTAATTCCAAAAACAGTATGTCGTTGGAATTCTTAAAGTTACAAATATTGAGGTCTAGAATAAGAAACCTGGCCCAATTCAAGATCACAAGTGTAAAACTGAAACTGGAATCGCAACTTCAAAGAAACCAAAAATTTTTCTCTACATCTTCTTATTATATATATAAAATATTCTGTCCCAAGACTGGTTTATATCATCATACAAACTCCTATAATTAACGGTGGAATTGTCGGCTTTTAACAAATATCCAGTTTGAGGGGAACTGCTTTGAAAGATTTTTTCTTATGTCATAATATAAAATAAGTTTTAACTGAATTGAATTTAATAAAATTAACTTTTATTTGCCTTATCCGAAATGTATTTATTATAAAACATTGCTTCGTTTCTGTTTCACGGTAATTGTACCGCTTTACAGCACATACATTTTGCAAAATATTCTTTAACGCTGACACTTCTCACTCGGGCTTACTATGAACGCGTATGCGTTAGGATACCTGTATTCGTTTCTTATCGAACCTTAAGTGGCAATCTTAAATAATTGCAACGATCTTAGTCGCATTAACAAACACGAGATTACATATTCATAAGCCAGGCCGATGTCGAGGATATCAATGTTTATCCAGCATGTTGCAACTTTAAATCATTCGGGCGAGTTTAAGCCGCCTTCGGCCAAGCTTTTTTGACACTTGACATTCTTGATATCGATGTACATTGTACATTGAATTTTTGTACATTTATGCATTCCCGAGGGAAATTCGTCAAATTTGCCGATCTAGGTTAATATGTTCTACGATTATCCACACGAGTCGAACCGCGTAGGTAATAACAACGAGTGATGATCGCGGGTTGAAATCTCAATGCTGTAGAGTTTACTTTGACCGTAGCAATAGTGGCTGCTTAGCCGGCAAAGGCATAACGCTTACCGATTTGCACGTAAACACTCACAAGCCTACGGCCACCACCTCTCTTTGTCTTTGTCATTCGTCTTTCTAGTCGTCACCATATTACACAACTAAAAGCAAAAAAAAAAAAAATGCACGGTATCCCAGATATTACAAATTAAAGTACCGTAGATCAGGAATTCTCACATCGTATATAAGTGCCGTCTTCATTCAGGGTAAGATACTCCGTGCGTTTATTTTCGATAGTTTCGAAGTTGAAGGAAAAAGTTCGCATGCGCAATTTTTCACGCCGTATAAGTGTTATTGCGTACTGAGCTACAATTTCATTTTCTACGACGTTTAGTAAATCATTTTTCTATCCGCTTAAAATTTTCAAACCTTTCCAACTCTACCAAAATTTTTTGTATTTTCAATATCGCGCCTGGCTTGAATGTTTATTCGCTCCATTCTTTCCGATATAATATTGAAAGCATTACAAATAATGACATATGAGTATTCCAGAAAATTATCATTCTTGGAGGACTCAACGGTCTATCTGCGTTCAGAAGGGGCGTAACTGTTTTCCATGCCTTGATTTGATATTAAAATTTAAAGTTTACCTACCTCCTATACGCATGCGCGCATTAAATACCAGACATTACTTCTTCTGATTAGCACTTACTTCATCAGATATCTTATTATTAGTCTTAGTAGAGCTTCGGTTCTTCAAAAAATGTTATATCTTCCTATGAGCAATCCTAAACAATGCCGTTGTATTTTTTATATAGAATTTTTACTCTGCCCGCAGATAATTACCGCCGATCGTTACTACGTTAGGTATAAAATATTGTCTTATTGAACTAAAATGTCGATTGGCCGGACATCAAGCTATAGAGAGCAGATATAAAAGTTTCTATAGCTGATCGTTCGATTTTTTGATTGAAATTTGGTCATCTTAAAGTTTAAAGCGGTATTGCTAAATTTCTGCCCTAATGCTAAATCGGTGCCGTAGAAATGTAACCAATTAGGAGAAACATCTTCAAACTTGATGAAATTATTTCTTTAAATTCGATAATAAATTTGCTTGCATTTTGGGTTGAGTTGAACTTCATTGAAAACAACATAAGTGTTTAGTGAAACTGGTCTACAACTACCATGCAATGTTGATAATCTTCTAAGCTAAGATGAGCTTATTTCATTTCAGTAGATGCTTTTACGAAACGATATAGTTTGCTTACGTATTATAAAAAAAATTTCGAAAAGTTTTAAAGCACTTTAAAAGAGTTGCAGCTTGAATTCTCCTAATAAAATTAACGTAAAGTAATTTAAAGCGTTGTAAAGCTGTGGGTAAAGACCGAACATAAATCACCCTACATTAATTGGCTTAATGAAATGCTTTGCTTAATTTCGTAGTAAAATATGAAACAAAGATTACCTCTTCCCACTAAATCAAAGGCTTAATTGTCATGGGATACCTTACATGGGGAGAGGGTCTCTAAATAATAGACCCATCATTGTATGTGTACTAAAAATGCGACCTTTTTGCCTTGTAAACCTCTCATCTCAACCCATCCAAATTTTCTTCATTCATATGCCATATGTCAAGATATGTTAAGATATTTGAGCAATTTCCTTCGGCGGCTTTGTTATTCCAAAAAGGTGATTGCATTGAGAATTGTCATGAAAAGACGCCGATTCCAATACATTCTCAATAGAGGACGTCTTTTGGCCAAAAAATTGGTTCGGGTACTAATTGTTGAAAACGTGTTTCTGAAATTGCGATCATTAATTTGCAAGCAACAATTCATAGACGACCATCGAGATGATGGACAGACATGCAGCTAAATCGATTGGCATAATAAAAGTCTGTGTCTGTTTCAAATTGGATATAAACATGTTCGTAAGCTTATCCTTACCGCAAGTGATGCAAGAAGAAGAGCTGGCATAAAATATGTAATAACTTTAAGACGGATCTTAGATATCAGCCATATTAAGGCCGGTGTATAGACGTTGTAAGGTTTCTTATCTCAGTTTTTGCGACTATAAGAATTCCAATTACAAAGATGAATAATTTCGAAATATATATAGTTTCGATGTTTCTGAGGCCCACGGTTTTGTTGTTATAAACCGATATCGGATTAATTAAATAAAGCGAACACATAAGCGAACAGCGGCATAATAGTTATAAAGCTATGCAAACATAGGCATAAATATATCTCTTGCGTATATATAGGGAGACTGTCGTGCTGCGATTATGGCAAAGTGTGTTAACACGTTCATCCATCCGACTGTCGAAATCAAAGAGAAAATTAACTTTAAATCAAAATAGTTATAATTTATGTTGGCCTGTGTGTGCGTATGCGTATGATTATTGACTTACTTTTTTAATTTCTGCATATTAAAATACTATTACATGTGGTAAAAGAGAAAACACGTCTATGTATTGAGGATAACGATCTAAGCCTTCCTACCCTTAAGTAAATATAATATAAGTTTGGTTTTTCTCGACTGTCTGTATATAGAAAAGCAAATAATTTATTTTATGTATAAGTGTCTATGTATGTGTGTATTTTATGTGCGTAATTTTTGGTATTATTTTTATCTTTTAATTTATTTATTGATTTCTTTTTCTTTTTTATTGCTTATTTTGAGTTCCTTAGCGCGAACGAAAATTAGGATAACTGAAAGATATGAAATTTAATGAATTTAAAGGACGTTAAAGTTAAAACCAAATACACAATAAATAGATATAGATGTGTATCAATCAGTTAGTCAGTCAGTCAGTCAGTCAGTCATTCGGTCAGGCAGTTAGTTGGAATATTTGTGGCCGAAATAGTTCAATATGTTATATATATATATATATATGTTTTATATATATAACTATATATATAACTTATATATAGGGATTTTCTTTTGACCATACTACGCAGATGTCTGATGATTTATGTAAAAGAGAATGTGTTCATTGAAAACCCTGTACCTGTGCTTTTGGAAAAGAATTTTTTTGAGCATTTTTCGTCGACGAAAATACAAACAGTTTGGATATTTTCGGACATCGAGACGCCGACTTTTGAATGTGTGTAAGCAATTGATGTTCAAAATGTTATTAAACAGGGTTTTCTGACACATTTCTAAAAATTAACAATATTAAAATTGATTGAACCCGTAGACATGGACACGCAGAAAGTAAGTGTGTTGTTTGCATCATAAATAAACAAAAAAATCATAGAAGAATTTTAATTTGTAGTCGTTTCCTATTCTTTGTTTGTTTCTCTTTTAAAATAAATTGAAATTATCATTTGAACTGGGACCAGGATATCAGGAAACTCATGCATTAAAATGTTATTATTTATTTAGCATTCTTATAGTTGTGTGGTTACATAATATAGAAAACATTCTCAAACAAAAAAAATAATTGGAAAAATTTTCTTTTCAATCGTGGTTATCCAACCTGCGGTCCTTCAAAATTGTTTTCAAATTTTCAAATTTCGTAAAAATTTTTAACGATGCCGTTTACCGGCCATTTTCAAATATATTTACTGCACATAGCAACAAGAAAAATTGTGGGCTTGGACAACCATGTTTCCAAAAATGATATACGGTGCGTAGTAGCGTCTTAGTTTCGGTAAATTTTTGCTTGTCTTATTAATTTGTTTAAACGATTTGAAAAAAATTCATTTTATTTGCTTTCATATTACATATACATGTATGTATATGTGAAATATTTTGTGAAAGAATATTTTCAAAGAAAATTGTTTGTCAATTAAAATTTTTCGATCATTCCGGACGAAGATGGATTTCTTTCCGGAATTAATGACATTTTTAGTTTGTTGCTTGACTGAGTCTTTAGTTAAATATTCATTTTTTTTTAAACAATTCAAAATTGATACATTTTGTTTGTTACTTCTCTTCAGTTTCGCTATTGTTTTATATGTCTTTCGTGCTTAAATAGAATAAATCGCAATAAATCTGCTTTTAATTTTGCCTCTATATATCTCTTTATTTCTATTTATCTCTCTCTCTCTCTCTCTCTTTCTCTCTCTCTCTCTTTCTCTCACTCACACTCTCCGTTCTATATATGCAAATATAACTTTATTGCAATTTATTATTCTCATAATTACTATTATCACTATCGTTACTCATAATGTTAAGTAATTATTTAAAAAAAAAAAAAAAAAAAAAAAATTAAAACACAAATAACATATGTTGTATATATTTATTAAAACAAAAAAAATATATATATATATATATATATATATATAAAAATAATATTAGATCCGATATGATGACGAGGACGAGGATGAAGGTCCACAACCGGATCCTACGCTTGAACAGGGCGTGCCCATACCTGTTCGTTTACAGGGCAGTTTCCCCCCAGAATTGGCCTCCACTCCTCTCGAGGATATCGATCCCTATTACAACAATGTACTGGTAAGTATTATTGCGGATTTCATGGGCAATTCTCTCGTTAATTAATTGAATAATTTTATTATTATCATTATTATTTTTTGTTTCTTTATGTTTTATTCTTATTTTCCTTTTCTTCTTCACTTCCAATTTGTTTTTGTTTTGTTTTCATTCTCTCTATTTGCTTTCCATGCAGACATTTGTAGTCGTTAGCAAGGGAAAGGATATTTTTCGCTTTTCCGCGTCAAAAGCAATGTGGCTGCTCGATCCATTCAACCCGATACGTCGTGTAGCCATTTATATTTTAGTGCATCCGTTATTTTCGTTATTCATCATAACGACCATTCTCGTTAATTGTATTCTAATGATAATGCCGACAACGCCCACAGTCGAATCCACTGAGTAAGTAGATTGCAAATAAAGTTTTTTCATAACATTTTTTCACTGTTTTGATTGATTATTACTCTATTATAATAACAATTATTATTAATATTATTACTATTGTTTGGTTTTCGTTGTCTCCTAGATAGTTTACTTACTTACTAAATACGTATATGTATGAGTTATATGTATATACGTGTGTATGTATATATATATATATATATATATATATATATATATATATATATATAT